AACACGACGCTTGCGACCTCCAAAGCTCACCAAGCACAAGAAAAGCCTACTACCCCTTACACATACCAAGCACCAAGCTGGTGTGCAAGAATTTTTACACAACTGGAGGGCAGCGCACACCTCCTGGCTCCGAATGAGCCACCCACTTGCACCTGCCAAGCAATTCAGGATTAAACAATTCCTCAACACTGTTACCAACAACATGTGGCCATACAACTGGCGCAGCTGCAACCAGACCAACAGTTCGTGGCATACCAAATCAATCCACGCGTGGCACCACCACCGCCACCACCACCACCACCACCACAACAACAACAACAACAACATTCCCGTAAGCAACGACTACATCAAGCAGTTTGTCACAGCGCAAATACATTAACATAACAAACGCAGCAAAACAACAACTCAACGTTCACACTGTAAAACACAAAGAGAACGACGACCACATATGTCCTGTACAGTCAGGACCTAGCCGGCCTTTTTCCTTCTGTCGACAAAGACAGATTCCTTGCAGCGTATCACATCATGGCCCGCTGGTACCAAGACAGGAACTGGACACACGCTCCCACTTTCCACATTGATCATTCACAAACTGATCCCAAACACAGAATGCACCGGGGCAATGGCAGACAAGAACAACATGAAGATGCCACCGGCCACAAACATAACATACACCTCAAAGACATCCCCTGCATGATCAAGGCCGCCCTGATGCTGAATTATTTCACAGTGGGCACCGAATTGATCAAACAACTCAGGGGAGCGCCCATGGGCTCACCAGGCAGCCCGGCTTTTCGCAACCTTGTTGTATCAGTTGAGGAACAATGCTGGCATCACACATATTACTGCACAACCACAGCCAGCTGTAGTCTTTGCCACCAGGTACGTCGACAGCAGAATTTTGCTGTTCCCTATGCATCTCACCCAACTAGCATCGTTTCGACAACCAATGCGGCTTTTTACAAACCGCCGGTACAGCTTGAAACTGAACCAGCAAACAGTTTCCTGGGATGTGCCATAGATCCCAAGCCCCGCAGCCTAACTCACCACAGCAACATCACCACTGCAGACCTCCTACACCCACAATCCGCCACCGCCACAAGTTGCATGCAGCAATTACCAGGCAGGCACCAGACACATACAGCGAGTCTGTGCACCTCATGGTCAGGACACGCACATGAACGTCTCTACGTTGCTGCTGGTTATTGTACTTGAGAAGCCCGACAGTCAGTCCGCACTTGTGGGCAGGGTCACAGCACTGCTTGCAGACCATGTCAAGAGCGCATTGATTTTTCAGACAATTGATCACCATCGCTGTCCGCAGCGATTCGACACTGTGCGTGAGTGACCATTGCACTCGCCAATCGCTATGTAACGACACCCGGTCGGAGGAAAGCCACAGGCAGCACGGCGCAGACAGAGAGCACCGCAGTATGCTCGCAAAGGCGCCAAGGAGAGAGACGGCGCGCCACCACGGTCGCGCTCCTCCAGAGAGGAACGGGCACAAGCGTGTCAGCCACCTCCACTACATCGTCAAGTGATGCGCATCGCCGCTCAAGTTTTCGAAATGGCAGATGAGGATCCTTCAACCTACGCGCCACCACCGCCACAACAGCCGGAAAAAGACGAAGAGGATTTTGATCAAGAAAAGCTTTCCAAGCTCGACAACTTGACTTCCGTCCAGCACAACATCGCGGAGACTGTGACCAAAGTCCAGACCTTGCCGCACCAGATCTATAGCTTGCTTGCTACGCAGCACCAGTTGGTAATATCTTTGATTGCGGGTTGCAAACAGCAACTTGATGTTATGGAAGTGTTGTTGCGGCAGAATGCTATAGAGACTGGTCCCAAACAGCATTTCACACCACGAAGAACCGCACAATTTACCGTACGACTGGCCGAAAGAACCTGGCATTGCTGAGCCAACGCATGGACATATCCCGGGAAAGTGTACATAACATAATCCCACATCTTCTTTGGCCCAAGACCCTGGTGAACGCACCTGCGAAGTCGGACTCGGGTCCCCAATATTTAGTGATCAAGCTTGTAGGGCTCACCTTGCCATTCATTGAGCTGACGACCCACGAGACATCACGAGACCAACACGTTGAGGGAGAAGATCAATGGATTGGAAGTTAGATTTGGCGCAGCTACCCAAGCTGGCCCAAGCTTTACGCAATAGCTAGCACAACATGCACAACACCTCAGCACGGCAAAAAAAACAGCGCACTCAATCTGTTGCCGCATGTCCTGTCATGTATAGTTGATCTTGCAGTTTGTTTCGTGATGCATGGTGCTGGATTTTACTGCAGCAATCACACTGATTCATCCACAGCCGTCTCTCATTATTTTCCCAGCATGCCCGACAGAAGTCGAAGCCCGATCTTCATGCCCAGCGAACAAGATCTCCATGAACATTGAGACAAACCCCAAAAGGGGACTTGCTTAGTTAGCCTTGCCCATTTACGGTTTTAGGAAATGGGTTATTCCACAAGACGGATCAAAGCGCCGGCCCAGGTACATGGACACATTCATTTGCGGTACACAATGCATTGCAAACATGTCAGAGTTACACAGAATCAAGCATGGATGTTGAGCGATTGTTGGTCGACGTGTTGCAGCCGTTTTTCGTCAGTTGCCACGCAGCATGTCGCGCTCAACGAATGCACCACCTCCCCCCGAACATGGAGAGGATTCATCTCAGACCGGCTCGTGGCATTCTGCATTCGATCCCCCGATCTCAACAAAACCTGCCTCCAAACGACAAATCTGCTGCATGCAGTCAGTCCACCTGTCCACCTGCACGGGTTCCCGGCAACGGCGCTGACAACATTGGAGCAGCGTTCTCATCCCACTCGCGACGGTACAGTGCATCTACCAGCCCAATCTGGGCTTTGAGCAGTCGCTCGGCGAGATCATTCGCCCCTTCAACCACTCGCCCGCGATCATTGTGGACCGCAGTCGTGATTGCTTCATTCATCAAGTGGCGTGGCGTGCCTCCCAAGGCACCGCATTCAGGGATGCGGAGCAGCATTCGGGGCATCAGTCGAAGATGCCGGCACAGTCGGCATGGTATCCCCAGTGCCGTTCGAATCAGTGCCAGTGATGCCAAGAGCAGCATCAATCGCGGCAGGGCCAGTGGCATTCCCATTTTTCTCAGGCTGCGAACCGACAGTCGCATTCGGGCGGACAAAGGATTCGCCCATTGCCAGTCGGTGCAAATCCGGCCGATCCTCAGGAATCTGGCCTATCATGTGCATGGCCACCCTTGTGTTGTGCATTCCTTCAGTCTTCATCTCTTCCACAGGTCGGTCACTCACTTGGGTCCGGACCTTCGCCAGCTCATTCCCAGTGATGTTTTCAACTCGCTCTTCCGGGATTGGCATCACATCACGGGGACAATCTTGAGAGCCATTGCTACAAGCTAGCAAAAAGGAGGCAGTCTACACTCTAGGCGCCCGGAGGTCACACTAAGGAACACTCAGAGGAAACATTTCGGGCAAGCACATTGATCTCAGTCCACAACACAAAGACCTAAAGCAATCCTTTGCATTGCAGTGTGTACATACAGATCACTTGCAATCACTCGGCAAAGCATTCGACGGACTTTCGCCAAGCAATCGCCGAACAATCGCGGAACAATGGCCAAACGCTCGCCAAGGTTTCGCCAAACCTTCGCCACAGTTTTGCGAGACGTTCGGCGAAACCTCCAGTCTCCATTCGGAGTTTCGGGTTCGGCCTGGGGGAAAACTGTCGGAACCTTTCGGCATTCCCTCCAAGGAACGAACATCCGACATTCGATCGGGAAACATTTCGGCAATCGGAGAAAAACTCTCATTCTCTCACACTCTCCTTCTTTGGTTTTGGGCTTTTCAAGGCAATACAAACATTGCACATGCAGTCATGACAAGCACAAGTGCTGCATTCACTTCAAACTAGACAAGAGAGCATAGAGAGCAGGGTGACATGTCATGCATTCACTCAAGGACATGCGTTGCAATCGCTGCGGCTCACCCACACAGTCCCTCGGCGTTCGCTTCAGTGCACCGGCAACCAGAGAAGCAGTGTGCGCGGTGCGTGCAATCCCGGGCAGGACGCGCACGACGGCCATTCTCAGTAGGGTGGTGGTCGTGGGATTTGAGCATGCACGACAGGAGCAACATGATCATCAGTATCATGAGCATCAGTGGCGAGATCATTGAACGAATTGGAGACCAGTCCGAGGAGGAGGGAGGTCCGCCCAAGTCCCGCTTTAAAGCTTTTTACACCCTGCCCCCCATCCCGGACGTCTTGACAGTATTGACCCTTTCAAAACTATTGAAAGCCTGCCCACCCTCATCCCGGACCCTTTGCAAAGTTTTAAGAGTTTCAACAGGTACGGGATGAGGGTGGGCAGGGTTTCAACCGTTTCAATGGGTTTGAAAGCTTCAATTGTTTCAACAGGGATGAGGGTGGGCAGGGTTTCAATAGTGTTAATAGTCTTGACAGGTTTAACAGTTTCAATATGTCCTGGATGTGGGTGACAATAGTTTCTGAAAGTTTCTAAAGCTTTAAAAGTTTCAAAAAGTACGGGATGAAGGTGGGCAGGGTTTCAATAATTTCAAGCTTCAAAAGGTACGGGATGAGGGTGGGCATGGTCTCAATAGTTTCAATAGTTTTGAAAGTTTCAATTCAATCCCCGCCCGCCCGCCCTCACCACCAAAACTTCTCGAAGTATTGAAACTATGGAAACCACGATGTAGGACGTCAGTTTAAAGACTTGAGGAAAGAGGACAGGCACGTAATGCCGAACGGTTTCGTTTACATGTATACCTGGGTGTGTGCGCGCGCGTGTGTGTGTGTATATTTGTTTGTTTGTCTGTGAGTCTTTGTTTGTTACACACACACACACACGTTCTGCTGGGCAAACTTGTGCCCACACATGCCCACACTATAGTTAGTCCTTCACAGTCCCGTGAATTGCCCCTTGAGTTGTTCTCAATCTATTTCCTGTGCTGCAGGGTTTCCGATCGGCGTCAACATGTCGCAGCCCTGACAGAGCAGAGATTGAAGGAGCACTTGCCAGCGCTGCTTTCCGACAACCAACAATTTATTGTTTCGAGCGTGCCTGAAGGACCCAAGGGGCTTCCGAGAGGACCTGCAGACTGCAGACTGGCCAGCCAGTGTCGCTTTCCTATGCTTTCCTCAACGAAGGATGCGGCACGAAGGCTCAGGGCCAACCCCGGCGTGGGCGGTGCAGCACCGCGACCAGCCGTGCCACCTCCCGTTGCACGGCGAGCCCAGGCAAACAGCTTTCCCGCAGAGATGCCTCATAGCAGATCATAATATATCATAATAATTAATAAAGTTTGATTACTCATACTCTAGCTACCACCACTACCACCGCCGTTTTCGTGCTGCCTCTGAGAGCTAGAGGTCAAGGGCTGGTATCCGGAACAAGATACGGGCCGGACAAAAAGCAGACAGACCATCACTACACATGTAATTTAATGACAGTATGATGTCAGCTTGCAGCTTGAATTAGCTCGAGAGGCCTCTGCGACCGAGCATTCTAAGATCAACATTCGGCAAATCGACATTATCTTGCTTTCTTGTGTGTGGGGTCCCTCTTTTTTTTTTACAGAATAATGGTCGGTATCTGGCAAGATCTAAATGCCTGTGGAACATCATAAAACGCAGGGCAAGCGCTGTGTCACAGGTCTTGTGTAGCAGTGTAGCATGCAGCCTGGTTCTACGTTCGGACCGCATGTGACGCCAGCACTTCACCCTGACGGACATCGAGAACATGCGGACACAGGAGGCAATTGCGGGAATGCCCAACTATGCGGATCAGTGCCCTTGCTACTACCAGTATGGCAGTCGCAGTGTTGCTGGCAGCACACAGCAGGTACCGCCAAGCTCACCAGGCCAGCCCTGCAACGTCGTACTCAACACTCGTTTCCAGAAGCTATGCTGGGTCCTCGGAGTTCGTGCACGTGCACTTGAAGCAGTCTTGAAGCATTCTGCAGGAGTGGCATGTGCCAGTGCGGTTTGCCTCAGGACCCTGAGCTCATCGCACGCCAGGCTTTGGACGGCACCAACCAGTACCGTGCTTCCAAGGCACCTTGCATATCCAAAAGCACTCACGTGCAATCCGTGCTCTACCATGCTTGGCCAGGGACTAGTGCCGCTGCAGTGGCACGACGGCATTGCTCGGATTGCACGTCAGCACGCGGAGCAGATGGCCAGTGGGGCAATGCCGTTTGGCCACCCGTCCGCATCAAGACGGGGATGCGGGGCCGTGCCTCGGGTCGCTCATCCAAGAGCATGCGGCTACGATGCCAATCAGTACATTCTGGTTTGGGCCCGCATGTCACGAAAAGATGACCACACCGCAAGCACGTCCTGTCCTCGCCACACACGCAGCAGAATCGACACTGATGTTCTAATTCTTTAGTGCGGTCTACGAAGATTTTTCTCCAGGGAGATATGAGATACCCAGTGCATAGCCAAGCATTGGCCAGGCACGGGCCCAGGTACCGGCAGAATCGCTGTTTGGTATTCATCGGCATTCAATCTCATCCCGGCAATACGCAAAGAGAGCAATTTCATCATGCATTGCTAGCATCCAATTTCTGAAAGAAGGCCATGAGAGCCAAACTTCTGCACGTGCTGAACAGACTAGGCTTGCAGATCCGAGGTGCCACTCATCGCTTGCATGTCAGACAAGGAAGCTCGCTTTGTACTGTCGCAGCCATGAAAACTCTTCTGCTTCAACTGGTATCAACATCGATTATTCTGCTAGGTTTTGCCGTGTCGTACCATGAAACTAAACCACTCCCATGGCATCAGGCATCGTGTTTCGTTCGAACCAGAACAATACACTGCAGCCAGTGCGAAAGATAAGATATCCAGCTGTTCAAACCAGGCAAAGCATACTAGGTCAACTTTTAATTTTGTCGTGTTGAGAAAACGACCGCCTCAGCAAACCGTATGGTGCGATCTGTGTTTGTGCAACTGTCAAATCAGTATGCTTCACTTCCAACTTGTTGATTTGACATGCCGGCCCTCAACGGAGCATCCGGATCCTTACAGCCCGATCACATAAACACGAAGGTGACACGCTCCCCTTCGGCACCAAAGGAACCGAACACAATCCGAAGCTTCGGTTCATCCCCCATTCCACAGCCACAATGTCAGGTACCGGCAAGGGGTGGCCCCCCAGGCCTAGCCCTAGGCATTCTGCTGGAGATCCTGTTTTGAGTTCAGATTCAGGCGTACAGGAACCCGTACAGTATGAGCAGGAAGCGACTTGTCGCCGTGTAGGTTCCAAGGACAGCGTAGCATGCAGCCGAAGGACAAAAGCGTGCCCTTCGGATGTTCAGCTTCGCAGTTGGCCAAGTCCGTTCTGTAAGAGCTCTTCTGTACTTGGTCGGTGTACCACTGCCCAAAGTTGCTTTAAGCACAATTCGTAGCCAACTTAGCCTTGAGCTAACATTTGAGATCTTGTCAAAGGCAAAGTCCGTTATCACAAATCGCTAGTTCCTATAGACGTTACAAAGGTCCTGGTGTGTTGAGATCCTCGTACATGCAAGAGGCGGCAAATGAAACCTTCGAGCCAAAAATAAGACCTCCAAATACCCGGACAGTAGTGAGTTCCTGTTTAAGCAGTCAACACAGGCACTCATGCTTTGTTAGGATGCAGCCACTCAGAATCCAAAAACCACACCGATAACAGTACTCGTGTCCTACTTGTATCTGTGACACGTTCTGTCGCTGATATCACGACTTGCATAAAAATCAGGGTTTGATTCGCTTCAAATTACGGAGGCCTTGCTCTTTCTGAGAAGATGCTCCGCAACATGTTGACAATCCTGTTGAGATCCTGTGTGCTGCACATCCTATTCAAGCGCATTCAAGCGCTTTCCGTGCCGGTGTTGACAAGTTATGGACCAACCTTTCTGAAAGCCGAAGGGCCTCATCATGGCGCAATGTGTTTCCTGCCAGCTTGCTAGTTGTTTGCTTCAACTGTTTTTGGAATTTGGCTTGCCTGGCTTGGTTCTCTCGCGAGCCTAACGTGAACAATGTTACCAGTTCCATGCCAGTTGCAAAGTCGCTGCAACTTTGGAACCCAGGTGCCATGTGGCCACGCACTTGCAAAGCTGAGGTCACGACGGCGTAGAGGAGCGCTTCCGCGCCTATCCGATGGCCCATCGTGCCGCAGCGGAGAACTTGGCCAACTCCCCAGTTGCACCGAGTTTTTGTTCCGGCTCTTTCTTTCGCTTCTGGGCGCTTGCCGCTCTTCTGAGGCACTGAACAACGGCGTTGCAGAGGTCGCCAAGGTGGCAGTCGATGGTTGGATCAAATCTCCCGGGCACGAGAGGCCCTCGCCTCGCTACTTTGCCTTTTGCATGTCAGTGTCATGAGTTGGCCTTGCTTTGCTTGGCAAGTTGCGAAGGAATCTCCGCGGAACTTTTAACCTCTGCGGCCTGGGAGTTGCACGGGCCTCCAATGGCACCTTCTATCTCACGCAACTCTTCGCGCTGGCATGAGTTGTGGCAATTCGGTAACTTGCAGATGCACAGGCGAGTGCTTCGAGGATCCTGTCAGTCAGGGCAACTGCAGAGTGTTCAGCATTCCTGGAGAACATGCATTGGGCCATGCACAGCTTCTGGTGGTCGCGGTTTCCCGAAGCATTCTGCAAGCACAGCACCACGTCTCAGAAATCGTCAGATTTCAGCTCAGTTTTTTGGGGTGGCACACTGGGCTTGCTGGTGTCCCCCACACTTCATGGTAGCCTGTAGGAAACGGGCTCGGCGCTGCGCCCACGCGCGGCAATTCGGATCTCCGAAGCCCGAAGCTCTCAGTACCAGCCGAGGTCATGTATAGGTCAAGGCTCCTTCCATCTGAAAAACAGCAGGAACAGATTGGCGCTGCGCCTGTTCGGCAGAGAGCTGCGCGTTGTGCCGGTGAGGGCACCCAGCGCGCCAAGATCGAGGCGATGAAAGGCAGCGCCGAGGAGGCGCGAGCCGGAGAGTGGCCAAGGAGAGAGCCCAGGGCCCAGGGCAGAAAGCAGAGGTGAGCCTTCGGCCGTGAGCCTTCCGAGCAGGCCGACATCAAGAAGCAGATCGAAGTCTTAAACGCGAGCTGACCGGCTCAGGCCTACAGTTTGGACAAAAGCCGTCGCCAGGACACACTCACGGTCATTCCTGATGCCAGACACCGTCTTCAGAAGCAGAGCTGGCCCGTGTTACCTGTTTGTAAATGTGACGCTGAAATGTGAAGGGTGGAGAATACAAACCCCCCATCTCGGTAAAGGAGGGAATGGAAAAGTGTAAAACGAACCAAGCGCGATGGCAAACCGTCCACCCTGCAAATCAGCACTCTTATAATTTATTGAACAGTTGGCTTCGTTTTGCAAGCCGCTTGCAGAGTCTCGGTGGTGACCCCAAGGTAGGCGCCATTAGGTGCCGGTCATGGCAGGTATGCCACGGAGCTTCGCGATCACCTCGCAGAGGGCCACCAGGAGTCTGAAACCAAAGACCTGGGTTTGGCTCCAGGTTGTGCTGGGGGCCGTGAGGACGTCGACGTCGCTACGCGTAGCGAAGGTGAGCAGAACCCGGAGGCAGAACGGCAACGTATAGTGTTACCAGAGAAAATCTTTGGGGGCGGCCGTCCTGCGACGCCTTGCCACCCCGCATGCTGTTTGCAGGTCCAGGTGATCCTTGAGGCACGCCAGCTGCTCAGGCCACGACGCCCTCCCCCCCCCTTCGGCAAATTCTGGGCTTTACACACCGTTCTACCTGGCAGGGAGGTTGACCAGACCTTGGGCACGCAGACTGCCGACGAGGCCGCTGTTCTATGTCTACCTTCTCCATTCATTGAAGGCTGTCGGTTTTCAGCCTATGATGACACTAAACTTCACTAAACCAGAGGAGCCCGCTGATGATGCAGCCGGAACCGGTGGAACGGCAGACGTCGGAGACTTCTGAGGTTTACAAAGCCGGATATGGAAGAGCGGTGCTCAAAAAGGCGTCGCAATGCACATGTCGAAATCACTGCTTGGACGCTCCAGGCCATGTTCGAGAGAGATGTGCTTGCACGCCCAAGCTCTGGCTTTCCATCTGCTGTGAAGGGCTCCGAGTCTTCGAGGGTGTTACTTGGCAATCCTGGGGTCCAGGGGGCGCCATGCCTCTTCAGGCTGGGTATCAGCGGGTAGGTTGTGCAGTGGCAGAGAGCTGACTCCTGACATCGCATGGCTGGCAGAGCAGGTGACCCTGGCCTCTGGCAAGGAGGCCAGAGAGATGCTGAAGAGGACACGCGCTGTTGTGTGCATGCTTGGTCAGGTGGAAGTCACAGCAGCAGCAGGGGACAAGGTCGCTGACCTCAGGCAACAGATCGCAGAAAAACTGGACCAGCACCCAAGGTGCCGAGCCCGGGGCTTTATGGTTGAGGGGTTGATGTTTGGAGCACCGGCCAAGGGTGCCTGCAGAGCCTGAAAAGGGCACCTCTAAAAAAGGGCACAAGGCTCCAAGGCTCCCACCGGCCTCGTGCTCCTAAAAACTCGGGGTGGTTCTCGAAGCCATCTCGCAAACTCAAATCTCTGGAGCCCTTTCGACCAGGTGCGTTGAATTGAATCACGCTGGGGGCGTGCTTGCAGATGAGCAGATCGTACCAGACTCTCAAATCACTGTGGTTCTCGTGCGGTTGCCGTGGATTGGTGCCGACCCGGACCAAGTAAAAGACCTCGATGGTGGTGAATTTGTCATCGAAGCAGACGTAAGGACGCCTTCCTTAAGAGTTGGCCCTACACAAACGCTACACCTGTTTCTAGATTCCTTGTTCTTGTGCGGTTGGAACTAAGGAAGGGCAGCAAAATCAATGCTTTGTGCGAGGTGGGCTTCAGCAGTGGCACCGAGTACTTTGAAGTTGAGGTCCTTGAGGGTTCGGGTGCTTTCATCGGGGTCACCACCAGGAATGGCTTTCTGGGAGGTTACAAGATCAAGGGCCTCTTCTTCGGTGGGCCGGGCAACCTGAGCGACGGCAGCGGCGGCTTGCGGACGCAGTTTGGCGAACAGGTGAAGGCAGGTTCCGTCATTGGTGTGGCCTTGGACCTGACGGATGAGTCGACCGTCTCGGTGACCTTCTGGGAAGGAGATGTTTGCCTCGGAGAAGCTTTCAGAGGATGTCCGCGCCAGCCAGGAGCCATGGTGTTCCCAGCTGTGTGTGCAAACAAGGTCCAGGATCGTTTCAAGCTGTCTTTGCGGCGGAATCCACGCAAGCAGACACTCAAGACACCCCATCCAGCAATTGGATGTTGGGATTTGCAGCGGTTGGTCGTTGCAGGTGAGACTGTGAGCTTGGATGCCGCCTTGGCAGTGAAAGGAAAGGGCAAGGGCAGGGGCTATGCAGTGGATGCAGAAGCACCACCTGAAATGGGCAATATCATCATGAATTTGACAGAAAAGCCAGGCACGCCACTCTTCCGACTTTCGCTAAAGTTGGGCAACACCCTGATGACGAGCGAGTCTCGTCATTCTTGCCAGCAGGTTTTGGGAAAGTAAGCTTTCCGTTGACCAAGATTACAATCCCTGTCCCAAGCGGCCCAAGCGGCCTGCAGTCCCAGGTGCAAACTAACAGCGGTCCGATCGGTGCCGAAGAGATCCAGCTGGGCATGGTCGCGGGAACCATGGTCATGGCACCGCCCCCACTAATGGACTTGGAGCAAACCTTTTCCAAGGCCCTGCCGTTGATCACCAGCTGGAAAGTCACCACGGACAGCCTGCAAATGCGTGGTGGAGATGTTGAAATCGACTTCCGTCACTACGATGCCCCTCCTGAGGAACCAGTTTCCAGTGTTACGCTTCCATAAGCGGCAAATTCTCAGCCACGCTGTCATCTTGCCAAGATGAACTGCTTGGGACCATCGATTCTGTAGAAGCATTTGTGCAAAATGCCCTGAAATTGTTTGCTGGCCAACGGTCTTAGCATTTCAGGTTGCGGGACATCAGGTGGGCAGGGTGCCTCTACAGCATGTGCTACAAACCTCTAGTGGGGTACAGGCTGTGTTGCGTAGCAGGGCGTCTTCCTGTGCTAGACGAGTTCTCTCATAGCCTGTTAGGGCTCAGAGCAAGACGCAAGAACGATGTGGCTGTCACTGTGTCTTGCTATCCTGTACTTCTTTGGAAGCCCTCTTCCATGTGACAATTTCATGACAAGGCCGTGCATTCTGCAGATGGCTTTGACGCACGGCTAAGCTTGATGTAGCAAGCATATCAAGACGAAGCTTCGGGAAGGACCTCGGGCTACTGGCGCCTCGCTCGTTGCATCATGTAGGTCGCGTGTGGTCGCCTTTTTGTGGCCTCGTTTGATATGACTTCCAGGCCTGCAGGATCCAAAGAGCTGCACCCGGGATTCGTCCCGTTTGGCATGCGTCGTCACGGCGGGCGGTACTCGTGGTGAGTCGCAGTCGCAGTAGGTGATGGGTGGTTGTCGCTGGCACGTGCTGCGCTGGCTAGGAATCCCGAAGCGCACTCGGGGTCTAGGGGACTGTTTGACCATACTTAGTGTGGTCGTGCCCGTCGCGCACATGAAAAGACCAATTGGTGGCCATATGAATTTTGCGAGGTCAAATGATTTTTATCTGTTTTTAGGAAATCTACTCTAGCATCAAAAAGTATGAGCCGCTTGGTCCACATTTGAGCCCTTCTTTCTCCATCTTCCAACCCAAACTTAATCAGGAATCCCGAAGCGCGCGGGCGGGACGCGGGCGGACGCCAAGCAGAAAAATTAAGAACCCCACACAAAGATGTGGGGAATAACATTGTTGTGAAGCCAGGCTTTTCCGGGCTTGGTAAAGATCTTCTCATACGGAAGCTTCGCTGTGACAATGGCTTGGCAGAATCTCACAAGCACAGACGTGAATATCCCAAGGAAAAACTGGCGCAGATTCAGGGCGCTGCGCAAGCTGCAAGAAAAAACTGATACACCGGGTGAAATCATCAGTTGGAACGTTCATCCAGGCTGTGCTTTCAGCTGCAAGAAATGCAAGGCGACCAGAGCAATACTTGAACAGCTGAAAATCCGGAACAGACCAGTGCTCTGCAAACTCGCTGACCTGAGCATCTTGTCTGATTGCAGCGTTCAGCGTGTCTTCAGCAAGTCGAGCTTGACGAACTGACTTGAGTTTGATTTGATTTGTGATACGCGCGCCTGTGCTCTGACCTGTGCCATGAGCGGCTCGACGCCGCCAGCTGATTGCAACAGGTTGCGCACAGGTCCGAAGGGCGCTGGATGCTAATTACGTGCACTCATGCTCCGCGCAAGCCTGTGCAGAGTGCAACTTCGGTTAGCTTACCTTTGCAGTGCTTTCTGCAGGAAGGCCCTCAGCTTTGATAGGGGGACAATTCTGTTTGCTTGGTTGTTACAAAAGGGTCAATTTTCGACTGAATCCGCATGAATCCGCAATAGTGCGGCTAGCATCGTCCCTTGCGTGCAACAGCATTCAATTCTCTATCTTGTAGGGTATAGGATGCAGCACCTGACTGATCCACCCCATTGATGTTTGCCCAAGCACGGTGATCTTCGGGCCTACTGCTTCAGTGCTGCCGCGTGCGCAGTGGGAACCTCAGCTGGTGAACAGCTCAGGTCGTGTCCCGAATAGGGCTGTGCTGTGATACTGCATTCTTGATATAAAGATGCGAGTTTCCGCGCCACGACACGAAGCTGCGCACGTTGTCAATGGCGTCGACAACTTCAGAGTCGTCAATGGCGTCAACGGCGGCATCAAGCATGGATTTCCACATTGGTTGACTTGCGCGTAGCCAATATACTGGTTGAGCATGTCTGTAGCTACCTATATATATAGATATATAATGTAAACAAATATATATATATATATATATATAGATATAGATAGATACATATAGATATAATGTAAACAAATATATATATATATATATATATATATACATGCATGACCCTGATTGTTAATTGTCAATAGAAATGCAACTCTGAGACCTTGCCTGCCTTGTGCGAGCGTGAGCGTCGAATTGTCGATAGAATGTTACCGGACGGACTTGCACACGGGAATGTTGAGGAGTTCTGCTTTGGAGGTGCTGTTCTGTGCGCTGGGACAGCGTATCAACACCAACCTTGTTGAGAGGTTGGTTTCTGGCTCATAAGTGCGTGTGGCCAGTTGCCCTTTTCATATGCCTGCGTCAAGGCGAAATGTCATTTGAGACTACGAAGCCTACAATTAGCTAGCTGCCTTGTGAATTGTCTACATGGGTCTCGCAGGGGCAGAAGGTCCTTTTTCAAAAGGTAGTTGGGGGCTACGAAGCCTACCCGCCCTTTCAAGAGTCTGTAGCCAAGGTCTTTTTCAGGCCCTCGGTTTGGAATTTGCGGGCTCGTTCCCGATAGGAGACAGCGAGGTGTTAAAAGAAATGTGGCAATCCTAAACCAGCCCAAGAGCCAGAGGTAGGCTCGTTCCGGGGCTTGGGGGTGGTCAGTCCATGAGGGTTGTCTGTTAAGAGCAGGAGGGTTGGCAAAGCACGAACCAACAACAAGCAAAGCTAGCGAACCGTCTGAGCGAGCGCACGAAAGATGAACTGGAAGCTGTGTTCCTCCACTCCACAAGGCAACCCTCAGAGATGTTCCCGCCGAGCTTTAAGGCCGAAGCCGACTGCATCGTGCGACGATGCGGCTATGGATGCTGCCACTCGGCTGCTTTGCTGGAGACCCTTGCGGCCCATCCGGCCCTCGGCCATGCAGTGTGGACATCATGGAGGCTACGCATGAAAAGAGAACTCTCTCTCTGCCCTGGACATGGTACGCGAGTCTGGAAATTCGCCCCGCACTCCGAGGTTTCTGGCAGTCTTGGCGGATGCACAGGCCGTAGCAGATGAAGGCAGCAGGGATCGTTGCTCCTTTCACCCTGCTCTGAGGTCAACACTTGGACCGAACTGAGCCCCGGTGGCTCTCTGCCAACCGCACGGCACAAGCAAGGCATGGCATACAGCTACGCCGATGATTCGCTCTACGTTTATGGCGGTCACAACGGGGGCTCTAGCAGCGGCCTGAGCGGCCTGACCTCGGCGACCGGGAAGAGGGCTGATCTGAGGTTGTTTCGACGACCTCCAACGCTACAACCGCTCAGCCTGGCGGCCCAGAGTCAGCCATCACCATCGAAGACTTATAAGACTTCTGGCAGGGGAAATGGCGGTGTTGGGTGGGGGGGTAGACGAGTTTTCCTTTCTGTCGTGAAGAACGGCGGACTGCCGTGGGCAAGACCTGCTTTGTTGTCGCGTGCCGGTTGTATTCGGACCCTAGAAAACACAGTACATTTTGGTAGGCCAAAAGGGCATATTGGCATATTCATGTGTGGAGAAGGCTCGAAGACGATAGAACACAAAGAAGCAGCGAGGGCCAAGGCTTCAGAGATCCGGTTGCTGTATAGAGCTGCTGGGCGCTGAACGCAGGCGTGTCTGTCGCGACGTGGTCGCGAGCGGTCGTGGCGCGACGGGGGCGCCGGGTAGGGCACGCCGTGTCGATGAGGCTTGCATGTCATGTCGGGGTTCTGACTTGTCGGCAATTCAAGCAGAGATCTGTGGTGAACTGCTGTGAAGTCCCCGGGCTCGCATATTGCATGCATCACGCTTCGTTGCCTGCTTTGTCGAGACATGCTCGCGTGCCACTCTGAGGCCAACACCTGGTCTGAGCTAAGTCCCGGCGGCTCTCCGCCTTCTGCGCGATGCGAGCACGACATGGTCTGGAGCGACGCCGATGAAGCAATCTACCTCTTCGCTGGCTACATCGACGAGACCACCAGTGCCGGCCTCGGGCATGAGCTTTCAAAAGTCGACCGAGGCTGGCGCCCTCGAACTGAGGTAATGTGAATGATCTTTACCGGTATAGCCCTTCGGCCAGGGACCCAGACTCTTGGGATCACAGGGACCGCTTCTAAAGCGCTCTCGGCGTACTGGGCCCCTTGCATTGAGGCCTGGATTGACTGCCAAGTGGCGCTTAAGGGCTACTGGCAGTCGAAGCGGATCCCGTTGCCCAAGAGCACAAAAGGAATGAACCAGAGGCAAGCAGACGAATCAGCCCACGGTAAGCTGACATGCCAAGCCACAATTCAAGGGCGTCGCTCAGCTCGTCTCATTCACTGACTCACCCCAACCCTTTCCATCAACTGATATCCAACAGAACCTTCTCCCTGGACTCCCGCGGTTGCCTCCGACATGTCCGATGGATCCAATCGAGTGCTTGGTCGGCCTGGGATCCGAGGCCAACGCCTGGGTGCTGATGAATCCGGGGGGCTCCCCGCCCAGTGCGCGGATGAGTTGCGGCATGGCTTACAGCCACGCCGGCGATGCGATTTACGTCTTCGCAGGCTATAACTATCCTGCAGGCAGCGTCCTCGGACGGAAGTGGCAGCGGATCTAGGATGGCAGTGACTTGGCCGCTGAGGTCGCTTGGACGACTTCTACCGCTATAGCCCGTCAGCCAGAGGCTCAGTTACCCTTGAAAGACTGCGGCCGACGGAAGGGTCTGGAGATTGCATGTAAATGGAGCGTGGGCTGTTATCTCCTTGAGAGCCACGGTGCGCGGAGCATCGCGGAGCCTCAGGCCGACAGTTGGGCGCTTCTGGCTCCTGGCTCCGGGCCTTCGGCACGGAACTCCCCGGGAATGGCCTGCAGCCACTTTGATGATCTGGTCTACGTCTTCGGCGGCTATGGCGGGGCCTCCAGCAGCGGCCTCAGAGAGCCTACCAGTAGGAGGTTCTTAGTTGGAACTTACTGCTGCTGAGATCCGCAATTGGGCGACTTTTTCCAGTACGACCATTCAGCGAGGGGCCCAGATCTGAACTCTGCAGTGAAGGGTTGTGAGTTTGTTCTTCGCTGCAACTAGAGCCATCGTTGCCTTGTCCTGAAGTCCAAGCTGTTGTTGGGCGGAGCCGTGTCGAAATGGAAAGGGCATGATGTATTGGGGTTCGGACGGTTCAATGAAGGGCCAGAAGCAGGAGGGTTTCTGCCATTGCGCATATCCGTATCGGCATCCCCTGACGATGAGACTGGGAGTTGCATGGCTGAGTGAGGGTTCGGCTGACTTTGGCGTTGTCAAATCATGGAGCCCGTGATGCGTGCGCCGTCTGATCGAAGGGTGGTGTGGTGATTCCAATGTACACAGTGGAGGTTGGAAGCATATGGTGCTTCATCGGCCAGATACACCCACTGACTGGAGGCTTGTGTCCAGCCGTGATGCATCCACCTTCGATGAGTCGGGGTTTTGCTGCTTCATGTCGTGTGCTGGAGTGCGTCCTTCTCCCGACTCCAAACCGCGCAGCCTGCTTGCGAATCGGTTTGAAAGGGACATGACCCCGGCATGCCGATTCAACCGACGAGCAGGGTCGCAGGACTAGCAGTGGAGTCCCAAGTTCCCCTTGCCGGGCGAAGGCTCGCTGGCATGCCTCCAGCTGCACGGCCCTTGCTAGCATCATCTAGCATCTGCGTCTGGTCCACCTCGAAAAGGAAGCGCATCTATTTTGCAATACACGTGCTTGCTCCAAGTAAATCCTGATATGCGTTCGGAGCAGCTGTGCTTTGCTGCCACTGGTGCTCCGCCTGCTGCTGATGCTGCCGCTGCTGCTGCTGCTGCTGCCGCCGCCGCATCTGCTGCTGCTGAGGCACTGTGCGCAAGCACAGCTCTGGCAGTGGCATGCTTTGCTGAGGCGATGTAACCCGTGACGTTCTGGGCATGGCTCGGGGAACACAGTGCAATACAGACTTCGCAGATTACAGCCGTTTGCTTCGGCTGTCCTAGCCGAGACATGGCGAAAACAGACCTGTGCATTTGGTCCTCCCAGGCCAACCAGTGGACTGAACTCAGTCCGAGCGGCACTTTGCCCAGCCCGCGGTACGAACACACGATGGTGTGGAGCCAAGCAGATGCGGCGATCTACGTCTTCGGCGGCTTTGGCAGTGACGGCGGTGGCCTCGGGATCTCTAGGGGTGAACCGATATTTGTGCGTGAACTTATTATGTAGGCGTGGGCGATTGAGGTGTCTTGAACGACCTCCATCGATACGATCCCTTGGCCAGGGACTCAGCGGCCGGACGTTACAAGATCGACGGCTTCCGCTCTCAGGAAAATGAGTGGACTTTGCTCAGTCCTGGCGGATCCGTGCCCCCTGTGCGGTACCAGCACTCGATGGTAAGTGCTGATGTGTTCTACATGTTCGGCGGTTCAACCTGGTCCGGCGGCGGCGGCGGCCTCAGAGACCGATTGAGGCGTCCAACTAAGCTGAGAGTGCTGAGTGCTGAGGGTATAAAAACGACCTCTACATCTACGAGCCGCAGGCCGGGCTCGAGGGCATCGCGCTGCCGTCGCTGCGCTGAGCTCCAACAGAGAGACAGGGGTCGCTTGCGAGTTGTAAGCCTTTAAGGCGTATTCCTTTCCTGGTGGCCGCAAGGGACTTGCAGTTTGCAATATTTAGCGGGAGGGGTTTGGGGTTTGTAGATTGAGTCGGGATCCAATGTGCTTTGTGCATTGTGAAATGAGACAGCAGAAATGTGGCCCTAGCCATCTCCCCGTGCAGACCATCACCACGACCACTCAGACGTGGACAACTCAGGCCTGGGCCATCAAGCTTTCGTTGGCTTAAGTCTGGATTCCAGGTTCTAGTGAAGGGAGAGAGCCAAGCTGTGCCCCCTTGCAGGTCTTGGTGACAGCGAGGGTTATGACGGATGAATTCCCGGTCGTTGATGCTTTGGAGGGTGCATATTGAGGTTTGGACTTGTTGTAAATGCTGTGTGCGGCCACAGTTCCTTTCCCGGAGACACCGAGAGGGCTCTGTCTTTTGCGATCGGGCACACGACGACCAGCACGTCGTCGATGTCATCTAGCGGGCTTGTTGGCCATCCATCGCAGCTCCAACTGCCCCAGAGTCTAGATTGCGGTGGCACTCCATGCACCTGTCGCAGTAGTCTCCCAGCGATCTCTCATTGCCTCTTTCATTCTCTACCTCTCTCTCTCTCTCTGTCTCACTCTCTGTGGCTCTCTGTGTCTCTCTCTCTCTCTCTTTTTCTCTTTCTCTTCCTCTTTCTGTTTCTCTTTCTCTTTGTTGGTTTTGCTCCCTCTCTCTCTCTCTCTTTAATCTGTCTCAGCGCAGCGGCAGCCTGACATGCTGGGGATCTAAGCATGGACGAAAACTTACACTGAAGCGTAGTGGTTGTTTGTTAATGGCGGGTTAAGACCTCTTCTGGCCCGTACTTAGCCCGATGCCGATTAGCAAAGCCATCTCGGCGTCCAGACCGTCACCACCAGCAGCACGACCACTCAGACGCGGACGA